TGGCAGGGCTGATGTGGAGTAATAACGTTACCTGAAATACTGAGAGGTTTACTGCTCGAGCGAATTCGAGCAAAAAATATTCTTATACAATTGGTGGATGGTGGCTAGCAGTGGAATCCAGGATAAAGCGCATTTCGTCTTATTTGGGACTCGTCAGCTGGATGTACCTGCATTCCTCAGTGAGTGATGATGTTCCCGCTGAAGCTCCAACCCAGTGACCATGGTTTGAAACGCCAAAACGTTATCCACTAGACCACTTGGGCCACGGGAGCCACCTCTTGTGCAACGTGTCATATTAATTATTGAATTGAATTTTCGATTTTCCCTTCGATTGGTTGGACCGAAGTGCTCTCGTGGCCCAAGTGGTCTAGTGGATAACGCTTTGGCGTTTCAAACCATGGTCACTGGGTTGGAGCCTCAGCGGGAACATCATCACTCACTGAGGAATGCAGGTACATCCAGATGACGAGTCCCAAATAGGACGAAATGCGCATCCTGAATTCCATCTCTCTCGAAATTTGTCTTGTAAATGTCTTGTAAATTCAGAAATAAATTATTTATTTCATTCCTTCACGTTCCCAGTGGAACATAAGGAGGGCTTCAAGTTAGAGGCTTGAAATTTCTGTGGTGATTATTTTCACTGGATGGGGTTGCTAGTAGCCAGCCTCATGCCCCACCTTTCCTCCTTACCAGCTTTGTATTACTGACTTAGTGGGGGTAAAGGAGTGCGTCGGTGGCCCGGGGATCGAACCCGAGGTCACATGAGGCGTGGTTGGTGAGGATTCTACAACCGCTGTGCCATCGACGCACAAAATAAAAGTGTAGATATACATATAATTGCAGAGCCAGAACAGGAAATTATCGAGAAGTGTATTCTTTGCTGAATATTTTTAAAATAATTATAATTCTAATTATTATTATTTATTTGTAGGGGAGGACAGGTGAATGCAACTCGATGTCTACGCATTTAACGAACTCCGCTTACAAAGTGCATAGATGATGAGTGATAACAACATGAACTAATGAAAGGAAAATGCATTTGGAGACAGGACAGTTCTTATTACAGTTTAATTACACTGATGACAAATGTCAACTTTTACCGATGAATAAAATCAGAATATATATATATATAGCATTAAGTACTTCACATTTACAATATTATATCTATAGTAGGCGGTTATTTAATGTCTTAGTAAGATTGATTGTAAATGATAGCAGGGAAAGTTGATTGTCAGGCATTTAATGCGTTTTTCAGGATTTTGACTACGGATTGATATGTCATTTTGAGAAGCATTGAAAATCAATAGGTGGGGGGTGGGCGGGTAATGGACGACTAGCTGTTTCGTCCTAGTCTGGGGGCTGTTCTGATGCTCATTAATAGCTGGGTGGTCGTGACCAGTGAAATGTCTATCCGGTCTGGCGGGAGTGAGAACAAACACTTGCCAGCGATGACACTCGCTAGTCGTATCTATAAAACCACAAATTTTCAAGTATTGGTTTTGTAGGGATTTTTTTGTTTGATTGCATGGAGGATTTCATCATGAGCTGAATGATATCAGTCAGAGAATCACTGGAAAACCTGTAGGGAGTACTAGACGACTGTTTCATCCTGGTTTGGGACTCTTCATCAGTACGCATCCATCACCAGGGTTTGAACCCAGGACCTTCTGGTTACAAGGCAAACTGGTAGATCATTGAGCCACTGGGGCCCGATCCAATGGCCGGTCCCTGAATTCTAACTTCTGCTGATTCACGACATAGTGCGACCATTTCCCAATGTTTTCCTCGATGAGTTACTGCCTCATCTTCTACCTGCTGTACCCTACTGGTCACGGCTTCCCACTAGAATGTCTTGAATTGGCAGAAGTTAGAATTCAAGGACTAGTCATTGGATTGGGTCCCAGTGGCTCAACGGTCCAAGAGCTCGCTAGTCTTGTGACCAGAAGGTCCTGGGTTCGAACCCTGGTGGTGGATGCGTGTTGATGAAGAGTCGAAAACTAGGACAAAACGACAGTCCTGTACTCCCAGCTGGTTTTCCCGTGGTTCTTTGACTGATGTCATCTTATGGTGAAATCCTCCATGAAATCACAAATTGGCAGAAGTCAGAATTCATATGTTGACCAATGAATCGGGCTCCAGTAACTGGAAGGACTCGGGTTTGAATCCTGGAAGTGGGTTCCAAACTAAGGCTAAACAGTTGTTCAGAATCCCACATTATTTTTGTTTCTTCGATATATATAACAATTGATAGATTTTCGTCATGAACCAGCAGTGTATACTTGATACGCTTGTTTTGTCCCATCATGACACTCTTCAGCAATATGAAACCATGGCGCCAACTAGTTAGGATCAAAATCGGAACTTTCTGGTTACAAGACTAAGCTCTTAGACTAGTAAACCACTCAGGCTGGATTTCCATTAGTAACCAGTGAACTTCAACTTAGTCATTTCGTGATATAGTGCTGCCCTAACAAATCCCTGCGATGGGCATCCACCTCAATCAAACACATAATGGACTCAACTAGTCACAGTGTCGCCGGTCTCAGGAAATCCATTCAGGAATCATCACTAAGGAGTTCAGAGCCAGGAAGAAGAAACGGTTATACAATGAATCCTGTTCTATAATAATCTCTTTAACGGATGTTGCTTCGTGACGAAAATCAAACAATTCCAATCATTGGTTATAGAATTTCATCATGAGCTGATATTGGTTAGAAAACTATTGGATAACCAACAGGGAGTATTGGACAGCTGTTTCGTCAATCTAGTTTGGGACTCTTCATCAGTACGCACCCATCGGGGTTTAAACCTAGGACCTTCCAATTACAAACCAAACTCGTAGGTCATTAAGTCACTGGGACCCGACATTCGCTATTGGTAGTGCCATATCGTGAATTGGCGGAAATTAGAATTCATGAACTGGCCATTGGATCAGGTTCGAGTGGCCTGATGGTGTCTACAAACTCGCAAACTTGCAACCGGAAGGTTCTGAGCTCTAATCCTAGTGGTGGGTGAGTACTGATGAAGAGTCTCAAACTAGAACGTAGAGAACAGCTACCTGAAGGTTTTCCAGTGCTTTTCTAACAAATGTCAGCTGATGACGCAATCCTGTAATCGATTAATCATTCAAATCATTACAAACCAATACATGAATTGTAATCATACCAAAATCCATATATATCCTATAATCTGAATATTTGGATATATCATACTCTTGCCTTCTGTCGTTACATTTGGTGCCACTGCCTACCGACAAATGGAAAGCCTATACCATGCAGTTTTTGGATGGAGACATATGGATCTTCACACAGGACTTCGAGGCTTCTACGCAGTTGAGTGGCGTTCGAGATCTGTCAGCGATAAGACTGCTACTTGGGACGCTGCTGGGAGGTCGGGAGAAAGCAGCATGTGAAAGTGTAAGGCGTAATACTGACGAATGTGTGACAGGGTTAGGCAAACAGTTTCCAAAACGGGAAGGACCACATATGGTCACTTTGAGATGAGGTTACGCAGACACAGTCGCAATGGTAAACAAAGAGAAACAGGTGAACATCAGTGAGCGCCTAGATTCCAGACAGCAACACAAACGAGCAAAGCCCCTAGAACCAAGAAGACCGAACCAACTTCAGTTGCAAGTTTTTGACGGGGGGCGGGGGACGAGTGTGGTGAGAACTGGCTGTTAGTCAAAATTGGTGGACATTAATTTACTTCAATGTTTATGTCCTCAATATTGGCCATGAGGAAAATAAGAACAAAGACTTTGAGTAGGCGGATACAGTTAACATATAGATGATTTGACATTAAAGAAACAGCCACAAAGAAATGCAAGGTTGACTTTCAGTGAGAAACAACCAATCAGAAGACTGTGTTTACCCGCTAACAATAATCTATAATAATGTACATGAAAATCTATAAATATATGTTGATTTCGTAAATGAACGATGTGTTTCCTGGCCCTTGTCTTCTGCTGTTACAGTCAAAACAATAAGATTATTATTTACTGGATGACAACGTTTCGAACATAATTTATGGCTGTTCATACTAATACCATCAATTATAATTATACAACTATGAAACTTGATTTTTACAATTCTCTTTATTCTTATGGCCATAGAAGCTGTCAGGAAGAAAACCCTTTTACTTGTAACAACAGAAGACAAGGGCCAGGCAACAGATCGCTTGATTACGGAAATCAACACGTATTTATATAAATTTCACATACATTATTATAGCGTAGTCAAGTAGACAAACGCAGTCTTCTGATTGGTTGTTTTCGTGTTCCTCGGAAAGTGGAGCCATCTATCTGCGAATCATATTTGCCCACGTTTAAGTTTGCTGTGATTGGTTGTTGAACAGCCTTGTTCATATTTGCTCACGGCCCATATTAGTGACCTAGACATTGACGTAGATTAATGTCAACCAATTGGCTAGCAGGCTACTCTCACCACATACTGACTAAGAACCTGAACCACTAGAACAAAAGTGATATGATCTTCAATACATTGTAGTAGTTCCCCATCATTTGTGGATCTTCCTCAAGTCTGTTCTTATGTCACCAAACACGGAAGACTACAAACCACAAATTGTGATAAAAACTTTGAACTGATGTTCCGTGAGCGGCTTTAACTTCAAACATCCCCGGTAATTTTTAACAATAATGAAAACAAAACACGTAGATCAGTAAAGAGTCTCTTTTCGCCAACGAATTCATTTTCCACCTTAGCTGTACAATCGAAAATATATATGCGTGTTATTTCGTATGTATGTGTGTGTACATTAAGTTTGTCAAACAAAAATACAATTGGTTATGGTTATTTTAACCAGACAGGTGAAGATTGTTAATTGGAGTTGCGCAATACAAAATTAGTCAAGAAAATTAGGTGTTAATGAAACTAGGGGAGTAACAAAGGTGATGAGCTGTCACGAACAGTTGTTAAAAGAAGTTATGTAATAATAATATGAATAGTTTGATGAGTGAGTTTTACTCAGGATGTACATAGGAACAAAGTAGATAATACGAAATTACTTAAGATTTTTAAATGAATAGAAGAATTGTGAGCAATTGAAGAACAGGCAAAGAAACAAAATCAAGTCATCAAAATAAAAATAAGTCAAATCAGAAAGGTTGTTACCAAGACAGTAGAAGTGGTTGAGTAATTCTCTTTTGTATGCACAACTCCAGTTTTTCTATGTGAATGGCCAGAGCTTCAGTGATACAAAGAAGACGAAACCGTATTGTCTTTGATAAGTTATTCTTGACTCTGTAGATCACTTTGAACCAGGAGGCGTTTGTTGAGATGGAATGATCAGTGTTAAGCAGGTGTTCAATTACCGCACTCCTTATTGAACCACTATTGCCTTTTCGCAACCATGCTGGTTGGATAGTGTTCTTGAATCCTCTTGGACAGGGTGCGCGTCGACCGATGTACCCGGTTGGCTCCATAGAAACAGGTGAACTGATATATGCACATAGAAGTTGTCAGATGCGGCATCCTATCCTTGAGGCTTCTGCATTTCATTAACACCTAATTTTCTTGACTAATTTTGTATTACGTATCTCCAATTACCAATCTTCACCTGTTTAGTTAAAATAACCATAACCAATTGTATTTTTGTTTGACAAACTTAATGTATACATACATACAAAATAACACGCATATATATTTTCGATTGTACAGCTAAGAAAATGAATTCGCCGCAGCCGGAAATAGACTCGTCGCTCAACTACGTGTTTTGTTTATTTAACAATTCTCAGCACCATTTTCATACAGTGGTTAGGTGTTGTGTGACTGGCGATCTACGGTGTCTAGATGATCTTGTCAAACGTTGTTTTTTTTAATCGATGGACTTTTGAAAGACAATCAGGCTGCAGTATTTGTCTAACTACTCAGTTGTCCTCGATCTCCATGGTCAGCTGTCTAACATTCAAGGCATCATCTTTCATTTTTATTTTAATTGAATTTGAGATTTTCCCGTCGATTGACTGGACCGAAGTGCTCGGTCTCAGGTTGACATGTCTGTCGGCTTCTTGTGCAGATGCTTCGACGATGTCTGAGCATTTAATTAGTATACAATTGGTGGATGGTGACTAGCAGTGGAATTCACCAGGATAAAGCGCATTTAGTCCTATTTCGGACTCGTGAGCAACTGGATGTACCTGCATTTCTCAATGAGTGATGATATTCCCACCAATGAGGCTCGAATCCAGTGCTCATAGTTCCAAACACCAGCCAAAGTGTTATCCACTCAAGCCTCATTGGTGGCTCGAATATCATCACTCACTAGGGAATGCAGGTACATTCAATCGCTGACGAATTAGTCTCAAATAGGACGAAATGCGCGTTATCCTGATGGATTCCACTGCCAGTCACCATCCACCAATTAAATCATCTTTCATCCACACAAAATCCACTCGAAACAGTTTTTTTGGTATCTGTGGAACAAAATATTGAATAAAAAATGTTTACACCTTTGTTATAGATAAATTCATATATTACGATAAAGAAAGGAAGACGAAATTTGCAGTATAAAATGTTGATATCATCATTCTATTTCACAGGTTCTCATCAGCTGCCATAGACTACCTGAAATTACAATGGTTGTGTAGATGATACTATAGAATTGACTCATCCAAAATGAAAGTACTACAATTTTTTTAGTTTAAGTTTTCATCATCAATTTATACGCTGTTAAAGTTGGGAAGAGGGGGAGGGGTTAGACAGAAAACAGAAAAAATTAATTAACAGAACAGTGTTAGCTTGTAGATTCACACGGCAACTCAAAAAACAAAAGGGGTTACAGTTTATGATATTAAGATTTGTTCAGTGAGTTGAGATCACTGAATTAGATGACTAATCAAAATCAAAATTCAGTCACCAAGGGAGTGAGAGATTGATCACACTCTCTTTCTGTATGCACTAGTCTGGTTTAAATCGTCTGATAGCGATCGCTTCGGCAAATCGTAGTAAATTTGCTGTCCTTTGTCTATTTAATATTTTGAAGGACTTAGAAATCTCTACGAGATGTCCGGTATCAACCATATGTCTGGTAATTGCACTCTGGGAAATATCTGCTTCCTTTCAGGCACAGGCTTTTTGGAATATGTTCAGAAAACCGGATAGAAGCCCATCTTTCTGTCCTTCCAATGTACTTGCTCCCACAAGTGCACGTGAATTCATAAACGCAGCTGGAGAAAACATCAGCAGGGTATTTATCCACTTTTGAGTGGATTATAGAAGGAGTGGTTCTGTATACTGTTATGAGTTTTGCAGTTGGGAAGCTTCTATTTATTGCACCTTTCAGTCTTTTGTCAACTTTTTGTGACACTGCATCTCCTTTGAATGGGAGACAAATAAACACTTTTTTTCTTTTCTACAGTTGGATGCTTTTCTTTCTCATCTTTTTCTCTGCTGTACTTCTGTATAAATCCCTTAGGGTATCTATTTTCCCTTAGGCATTTCTCGACGAAATCTAATTCTTCTTCGACCTTGTCTGCAGTTGATCAGAACCTGTGAAATAGAATGATGATATCAACATTTTATACTGCAAATTTCGTCTTGCTTTCTTTATCGAAATTTATCAAGGGAACCAATTGTATGTGTGTATGTATGTTGTATGAAATTCATATATGTTGCTGTTAATTTTATCATTGGTTACTGATGAATCATCAGAGAGGTGAAGTGGGGTGGGGGTGGGTTTGCAGGATGATATATCTGTAGACCCTCAGGTTGCTGGATCAGTTTGAGAAGTTCATTTTCATGTTGTATATTCATCGGCAAATTTGGTATAGACTTTACAGGCATATGGATGGGGTGGCTATGGGCTCCCCATTGAGTCCCATTCTGGCTGATTTCTTTCTAAGTAAACTAGAAAATGGACCTCAGCACAACCTTATCAGTAAGTTCTCATTTTATTGATGATATCTGGATGATACCTTCATTCTCTGTGATAATGGTTCTGATAGGAGTACAATAATTACTGAATTCAATGAAGTACATTCATTCAGCTATGAAATTCACATGCGAAGAGCAGTCCCAAAACAGAATTGCCTTCCTGGATGCCCTACTCACAAGGAAACCAGATGGTAGCATAAAAAGAAATTTGTATAGAAAAAGTACTTGGACAGGACAATATACACACATTTTCACAGCCTCGTTCCTATCAAGTACAAAAGAAATTTAGTGAAGACCCTCACTCAGCCACAGAGTTAGAGCTATATGCTCAGAAGAAGTAACTGAAGATGAATTAAGCATTGTATATGATACTTTGATCAAAAATAGCTATCCCAACAAATTTATCAAGAAACACATGATAAAGAAAGCGGCGGAAAAGGACTACTCACTATCTGTAAACAAGAAACCACTTTATGTACGACTATAGTTCAAGGGCGATATACCAAGTGAGATAATTACGAGGAGTTTAAGAAAATCAGTTCAAAGAACTTTTAATGCTGGCGAACTACACGTATTATTCTCAACACGACCGATGGTGCTACCTCGATTGAAAGATCAAGTACCTAGACAATCTAGCCACTTCAAATTGTATCTACCAATTCAACTGCGTTTGTGATTGAGCGAGTTATATTGGCCGTTGCTCTAGGAACTTGATTTTTCGTGCTCGCTCACGAACATCTCCCAGCATGGCTAAGTAAAGGTGTAGTTAAAACCATTAACAGTTCGATATTGAACCATCTCGTCCAAACCGGCTACAAAACCAGCCAGCCAGCATCGAAGAATCCTTCTCTATCATCATCTACCGGGTGCCTAATAAACTGCCAAAAACATCGAATCACCACATGTTCCAAACACCAGAGGCTATTGCGATTCGCCTCAAACAACCAGTGCTCTGTGTTCAAAAGAAGCAAGTCCAGCCAGCCTTCAGTAGAGATTATAAATTCATGAATTTGTAATATGATCTTTCCTGATTCTTCTGACATTCAGCTTATTTTATGTTGATGCGATTCAGCAGTAATCTACTGATATTATTGATTCGATGTTATTTAAGCAGCGACATTAATGTTGTTCATAACACTAATTCATTCATTCACCATAATGTATTTATAACTGTATAGCCTGATGATGAAGGGGTTATCGAGAAGAGTACTCTTTGTTCAGTATCCATATTCTTTTGAAAAATTTTAATAGGCATTTTTAATCAGTTAAAATTTGGTATAACCATTAATACAACCTAATGGTTTAAGAGTCGTTTGTGTTAGTAAATTTCACTAGATTCACTATTCACAACGAAAATCACCACAACAGGATACCACAGATATGCGACGTCAAGAAGAAAGGAAAACGACAGATCGTTGAGTAGACGGTCTTTACTGTCTTAGATCAACAGTTCAAACCAGTCATCATAATAAAATCTATCATATAATATATATATATACAGATTGAACGCATCAAAATCATAGAACAAAGCATAGAATCCTATTCAACCATCACTCTCCTCACCTCAACTTCCTTCATCGGTTTCGAAAAGGCATTCGACAGACAGTGTTCACCCAGAAGTAATTAAGAAAATGATTGAACAACTACGGAGTACAGTGCCCCGAATGCTTATCAACCTCATTTAACAGATGGCTGACTGACTATATGACAATGCCTACTATGTGCCAGTCAGCTGATCCACAACGGAAAACTCACTCACCCAGGCGAGAGTGAGACAAGCTGATTGACTGGCTGGTTAGATGGCTGATTACCTATTATCATCCACGATGTTATTTCTCAGTGTTGTAGTGAACTGGATTATGTTATGCACAGGAAGTGAGTGACAGAAGAGGCGAAGCGAGGTGAAACCGGCAGACGGCGAATACAGGACTCCAGGTAATCATATAGGAGGTGGAGATGAATATAGCCACCAACCAATCAAAGAACAACAAAACAACCAGCACCTACCACCATCAGTGGAAGATACTTGACAAAGGTATCTTCCTTCACTTATCCAGCCAAGAAGCAGGATGTCAACCACAGGCAGTCGGACTCCACGGATGAATATGTCAAAGAAAGACAGTCAGGCAACCTGAAAACAGTTGGGAAATCTCCGGCTTCACTCACTCACTCAGCCAGCATTTAGCACAAGATTAGAATTCTGTTCAACACAAATGTGAAGTCAGCCAGCCAGTCAGTCTGTAAGTCAGCTCTTCTATATGGGTCAGAAACGTGCAATGCATGTGCATGTACCTACTGACCGATCTCCGCAAGTAAGGGCTGGCTTCAGAGCATATCCATAAATGGCTACAGAAACAAATGGAATATTCAGAACCTATTAATGGTGAGAACAGGGGACCTAGCTCCTCAATTGCGAAACATATTACAGGGCAGACGGGACATAAAGTCGATGTTTACACACCATTTAAACCTATCTATAAAATGTGTTTGGGGCGTATCCTAAAGTTTAAGCCACCTTTGTGCGTTCAAAAACAATTCGTCATCACACTAATTAAACCTTCCTTGGTAAATTTTGTTTTGATACCAGCCATGGTAGATGTACTATTATTACCTCTGTTATTTGGTTTAGTGATCTTTATTGTTATCTTGACCTTGAATATGTCCTTTTAACTTGACCTATGCAGT